TAAACAATTAAAAAAAACAAATAAAATAAAACAATAGAAAAGAAATATAAATTAAATTACTTTCACCTAACGATCCCATATTGTGGCCCTTTTCAGCAAATTAATCAATTAAACTAATGTCCCTTTTTTAATTTTTTCAGTTCAAAATACTGTAACGTGGTTCATTTTATCAAGACAGCACAAGTCCTGGTTTTGCACTTTTTCTAAATGAACCGTTTCAGTGTCTGTAGCTTTAAATGCGGCTGAGCTGCTGCCGTCTACAACTAATCCAGGAAAAAGACTCGACCACATGGAAGCAGAGACAGACATCGATGAGTGTGTGAGATCAGAACTTTCCATCACTTCCTACCTTGAAATATCACCAAATTCTGAGCACAGCCATTTTTTTTAACGCGTTCGGTATGTTAGTAAAACAACAGCACTGTAATAAGACGATGTGTTGTCGTGGTGCAGAGCCACGGGTTCAGAAATGTCTCTGAAAAGACTTCCATTAAACATGTAGACGCTGTTCCCTACTCGCTTCCTACTCTGCTGTCTGACAACAGAAACAGAGAAATATGCAAATGAGAGCAGCTTTATGGGGAATTTGGCTGTATTAAAATGCAGTTTATGTGAGCACAGAGAGCAGCAGAGAAGCAAACAGACGTAAACACTGGCTCAGCTCGGGTCGCACCGAAACACAACAGGTGGCATGAAGACACAATAAATCACCTTATCCCCGTTTATTGGTTTCAAGTCGCTCCTAAAGTTTACGTGCTCTGTGAATGTCCCTCAGGCTTCAGATGTTCACATAGTTCTGACTTTTGGGTTTACAATGAAAACTAACAATAATAATGTGCTACCACTAAACTATTAATGTCATGACATTAAAAACAAAAGCAATCCACTGGATCTTCAGTTAATCAGAAGCTGGGAGTGCATGAAGACCGTTGTGTTCACTCTCGCTGCCAACAGCAGAACGTGTAGAAAGACAGAATAAACTGTTTTTATTTTACACTTCCAAGTTTAGAACAACGACAAAACACAATAAAATACATTTTCAGCAGTGTTGCCAACTTTCAGCTTCCAGCTGCAATGAGATGCTAAGAGGCTGGGGTGGGAGTGTGATTTATATTTTGGAGGTTATATAATGTACTTGCATTAATTTATTTCTAATATGTCAAGCCAAGTCACTGTTATTTATGCGGCACATTTAAAATAACAGCTGTTGAGCTAAACTGCTTTCGAGTAGAGAAATACGGTTGCCATTGCAAATTTACCAAACAGGTTTAAAAAGGAAGCGAAGAACCAACAATATTATTTATTATGAGAATTTGCCTGATTAATTAAAGTTAATTGGACAAACCTGACTAACTGAAAAATGAAAGTTAAGACCCAACAGCAGTATACATGATAAACCCAATTAATCCAAAGATTGTCTCTGAGCATGCCCATTGGCGATGATAAATGAATGTAATTAATAGTCCTTGGAGCTTCAGTAGAAAACAACTGGACTTCTCTGTTAGGTCTTGAAGACTTTAATTAGTAGCAAATTGGGTGAACTGACCCTTTAAATAAGCCTGCAGAGTAGATGCTTACTACTTTTTAAAGAGAAAAAGTTCACTCAGGAAGTCACACACTACAATTATACCCCAAATAAATATGAAGTCAAATATCTGATGATGTGTCGCTGACATTGATGATATTTATTTATCCTTCTTCTGTAGCCTGTTTAAAATGAATGTTGAAGCTGTAGGTGAACTCGTTCTCTGATTACGTCTATTTGTTCGTTAACTCTAAAACAGCTGTCACTGAAACAAGTTGAAATTGACAAAAGTAATAATACATTTTAAAAAATAGTAAAAAAAAAAATTAGGACATTGCTTCTGAATTGTGGTTCAACAGAAATAGATTTTTATATATAAGCAAACAAGCATGATGGGACCCATGAATTAATATTTTGTTGAACAACCCTTTGAGCCAATCACTGCAGTCAAGTGTTTTCTGTAACTCTCAATCAGACTTCTGCACCTGTTGACAGGGGACAGTTTTTTTTTTTTTTTTAATTATTATTTTCAACCAAAATTCAAGAGCAACGTCTTATTTCACTAAATTATAATTTAGCAAATTTTTATTTATTATTACTTTTTTCAGTTTCTAGTTATTTGAGTGGCTATTGTGAATGTTGCCTTTTCTTTCATGGAAGGGTCTGAATACATCTGAGGACGACTCTGTGCCTTGGGCCTTGCATTATAATGACCACATAGTCTTTCCTCTGTTCAGAGTTCATGTTTCTATTGTCAGTTTCACCTCAAGAGAAGCAGCAAGAACAATCCAAACGCAAACGTATCAACAGATATCTAATAAAAACAGGAATAAGGAAATAGATTATAACTGAGCTTCATCTGTTCTACAGATTTGACTTAACCTCACTAATGAGCCGATTGTTTTTTTTCTTAAAACTTCCAAGTACTTTTTGAGGAGTTTGAAGCGCAACGATGCACATAGGGCATCATTAAATCCACTGACAGGTATGTGTGGAAGCCACCTTTGCTGCTTTGTTATGGGTGGCTCTTGAAACCTTTTAAAGCTGTCTAGACGGATTGTATTGACTGATTAAATCCATTAGCAGGTGATCAACCCGCACGCTGTCAAAAGTTCATGTGAGTCTAACTTTTTGACAGACTGCTGCAGACTGGATTGTGACGTCTCCGTGTTTGTCTCATCTCCCTGTGTTTAGGTCTCATTAAAATACATAGGGCCTCGTTTGTTTTCTGGCATTTTTTAAATGCTAACAGGTACTCGGCCTAAATGTGATTTCGGGAGCTTTCAGGTCACACATTGTCATGTAGTCATAATGGGCTCCGTAATGCATTTTATTCACGTCAATGGAAGGATAAAGAATACATGCTTTCTTAATTAGTGAGTGCATTAAAATTGCAGCAAAGGTCACAAGCATTCATGATGACGGCGGCGAAGAGGATTTTAGATTATTAGCGGAGACATTTCCAGTCGGGTTGGTTTGACAACGTTTAGCGGCGTCTCGCTTCACTTGGGAAAGAAAATGCAGCATTAACTGCTCCAGAATGTTGCACCAATGAAGAGATGATCAGAAGAGTGATGAGGCTTCATGCACTCCTACAAGAGCCTTTTTTTGAAGACTACACACCAGGAATGTATATGTTAAATCACTTCTGGCCGTGCTCCCATGCACGCTGTGCTGCTCCACTTTTTATGTGTTTTTCCTCGAAGATCGACATCGGTTAATTTCACTACACCGTGCAGAGGCTAGAAAATTATTTCTCTGAGAGTTATAGTTCATTCAGAGTCGCTTGTGTGAAGAAATTGACTATTTATAGCAAATGGTTGTTGATGGAAAAGCCTGTGTTGTTTCAGAGGCCTCTCAAGAAATCCAAGCAGCAGCGAGGATTCGGCGGAGAATTAATTCCCTCTTAAAAAACCCCGCGTGTACAGTAAATCATCACGGTTAAATCAACAACACGTAACCGCCAACGGAGGCGGCCGGGTCAGCGGTCGGCTTTGCAATGAGCATAATCAGCAGAGTGGCGGTGACGGATCGGGACTCGATGTCCGTGTTGTACACCTGCACCAATATGATAGGAACACGAGAGGTCATTAGTGTCGACGCAGCGGCAAATGAGTGAAGAGGCTCGTTTGAGATGAGCTGCACCAGAAGTTACAGTTTATTTATTAAAACACTACAAACTATATGGCTCCCGTAGTTTTAATTAGGACTGTATGGCCAATTAAAATGCTGTTCATGGGATGTGTGATCTCTGTTGATGGTTCAGCCTCAATTTTACATGAATCCGCCTGTAAATCAGCATCTTGTTAGTTTCCCATTGAATATAAATCAGCTGAGCAGACGTGTATCTCTCAAATGACATAAACCTTCCAAAAACATTAATAGTCAAGTGTAGAGGAAAGAAATACAGGACACAAGCTTTCATTATTGATCTGCCAGATACAGCACCCTCCATCATTAAGTTAAGATGTGTTAAAAGCCTTAAAATAAGTTCAGTTTTTATTGCAGAAGCATCCGCTCACAATGAAAATTGTAGAAAAATGTGACCTTCAACTCAACTCAAATGAATTGTTGGCAAAAGGGGGTTTTACAAACTATTAGCATCAGGGGTGCTAATAATCATAGCACACATGATTTGATGTAAAAGAATGATTTTTTAATGCGGGATTTTTTTGAAATTGAATTAAAGGTTGAATTTTCCTCTTTTTTCATTGTGGTCCTATATTATTTAGAAAAAAAACTGAATTTACTAGAAGCTACAGAACACATGCCAATAATTATGGAGGGCGCCGTATTTAGACTGTCAGGACTGTGCAGATGTTATTTTAAGAACCCTCACATCCTACTTAACGCAAGGTTTTGTGTTCATATACAAAACACTGGACTTGTGTTGTGTTGTACGCAGTTTATAATGTGTAATCCGTGTAACAACATTAAGACGAATCAGATCAAAACCTCTTCAGTTTAACGAAAATGAAAAGCTTCTATCAAATGTCATGTTGTTGAATCTACATCTAAACCAATCAGCTGTTAGATCAGGTGAGAGCCAGATGTTTCCCATCATGCCCCGGGGCTCTGTGGTCACTGGAGAGTAACTGTGGTGCTACTCCAACGCCTGCAGCTGCATTAATCTCACAAGGTAAAATACTGTTTCTGATGTCAGAGCAACTCAGGGACAAATTGAACAAAGATCCAGCCGACGTGATTCTGCTCGATCTTGAACGAGGCTATTGGTTGTGGAAGCAGCTGATACAACCAATAAAAGTTTAGCTTCAATGCTTTTCCTGAACTTCACATAATAGTGACAATAACAGAAACATGTTACCTGTAATTAATTAGTTATTTAAATTCCTGCAAGTTAATTCTGCAGTTTTACAGACCTGACTGAAAACCAAGATGAAAACATGAAACGCTACACGGTGGCACAAATGGCTAAAACATGCTGTATTATTTGGTTTATGTTGTCTTCTGTTAGGTCGAGCCATCAAACACGTGAAGGAGTCTATTTTCACCTCAGAGGCCGGAGCCAGAAGAGGCGTCCCTAAAGTCCTGGTTGTTCTGACGGACGGACGGTCGCAGGACGACGTCAACAAAGTGTCCAAGGAGATGCAGATGGAGGGTGGGTGGTTTATTTACCAACCATGGAAGCAAAATAAAAATAATAAAATAGTATAAGACAAGAAAGATAGAAGACAGTTTCTTGATACTTTATGTTTGCCTCAAGTTGAAACCAGATCTTACTGTGCTACATTAAGCGACTGAATCCATCCCACCGACTTTAAACTTGTAATGAATCGTCTCGTCTACCTCCGTTCTCAGGCTACATCATCTTTGCGATCGGCTTCGCGGACGCAGACTATGGCGAGCTGGTGAACATCGCCAGCAAACCCAGCGAGAGACACGTCTTCTTTGTGGATGATCTGGATGCCGTGAAGAAAATAGAAGAGCAGCTCATTACCTTTGTGTGCGAGGCTGCCACTGCCAGTGAGTAACAGCACCTCATGTTTAAAACAGAGAGAGAAAGAAAAGGAGGAAAATGAGTTGAAGTCAGACAGGGATAAAGACGCAGTGAAAGAAGGCCAGAAAGACGACCTACATCTGTGGGAAGTTTGGAGAAAGAAAGGACGGGGGGATTTATTTGACAGTTGCTGATCTAACTGAGTTTTTTCTGTTTTTCAGCTTGTCCGTCTGTTTTGATGAGCGGCAACACGATGGCAGGTAAGAGGTTCAAATGAGAGGAATAGTATAAGGTCCATCCACTGCACTGAACCTCTGGATAGAAAGTAAATTACAATTAAAGCTGCTACCGTCAGGGCGTGGTGGAAACATGCTGGGGGGACTGGGATCAAACGTGTAGAGTTTCAGGCAGATCGACGCACATACAGGCCAGTTATACAGCACTTTCTGTTTTATGCCCACTTGTTGAAACTCCGTGGGCTGCCATTTCCACACTCTTAGACGTTTTGGAGTGTTTTTATGATCACCAAGCCCTGACAAAGCCAAATTTGAGGGCTGTGGAACCTTCCCCTGAGGAGGAGATAGATTTTGAAAATGAGCAAAAAAAACCCCAAAATGTCACCATTTATTCAAAATGGCGGACTTCCTGTTGGGTTTAGGGTCTGGGCTCCTGGGGTTTTTTGTGCATCCTGATGTGATACATATGCCTACCAAATTTCGTAGGTATAGGTGAAACATACTCCCGGCAGTGCTCCGTTGAAATTTTCTAGGGGGCGCTATGGAGCCATTTTGCCACTCACATGCCCAAGTCCCCAAAAAATATCGAATTTGGATGATATTTTGGACGTGCATGCAAATTTTGGTGAGTTTTTGAGCATGTCTAGGCCCCTGAGAATGCATTTGTTTCATTGGGAAAACAATTTTAAGAATCAGGAGGATTCCACAACAGGTTTCTTGTACTTTTCAGTACTTTTCAGTA